TATAAATATTCATAAATCTACACATCTGTGGCAGCCTATCAGCATCATTCTTTTGGACATTAAAAGCATTCTAATTACTTTCTGTCTAGCAGAGCTGAAATGCTGCCTGTTATAGTATGTGCTTGGCAGGCATGATTGCTTTTGTTTGCCATCACAAATAGCAGCATCCTATTTTATATACCGATGGTCCAGAAAATATTCAGGGATTGACTGAGCAGGATGAGTATTAGGGAGCACCATCTGGTTTTGATAGCACCAAGTATATTAACTCATCTGTTAATTTTTGACACATCATTGATTTATTTATTTAGAAAAATTGCATCCTGTTTTGCTGTGTTGATGTTTGCCATTACGAAAAAAATAGGATGACATTTTTTTAAAAAGACATAGTTCATTGATTTAAGACAAGGGTGATGCTTCCAAAGAGGCTTTCATTTTCTAACTTTCTATGCCATGACGTCCTTTCTTAAAAAGAAGTTATATTACTGTCTTAAGGAAATGAATCTATTTTGAACTAGCTGGAAATCCTTTGGGTAGATATACTAAGTAAATACATAATATTAGGTCACAATAATTTTTTTTGGCTTCTGCATTTTTAATATTAATAGATGTCACCCTTGGCTGGGCTAAAATCAAAAGGTTACCACTAATCTCAACTACTGTGATCTCCTTCATAGAAACAGAATACTCTTGGGGATATGCTGTGATGGACAAATTCCACCCAAGGCTTTGCTTACAAAGAAGCACATTAAAGTAGGGACCCTGTGTTTGATTGCTGACTTCCTATCTGTCTTATTCACTTACAGATTTAAGATGGATTAAACCACTTAAATTCAGAAAAGTTTCTAGAAATGAAAATTTTTAATTAAAAAAATAACCATGGGTTCAGATTCTGGAATCAGATTAGGTGCAATTTGCCCCCTGATATCTCCCAACAGACTGCACAATAAAGCAAAATAAGTTAGACAGAAGTGGTCATTGTAGGGTGGTTTGTGACTGACATTTTATGTGTCTATCAGAGAAGTTAGGGATAAAATTGTAAACTGATGACTTTGTACTTCTCGGCCATCATCTGAGTGGAGCATTCTGTGACTAGAGGGGAAAAACAGTTTAAAAATTCAAAATACACGTTCACACTTTGCACAATTAAGAATCATGGATCAGTGGCCATTCAAATGCGTGCATATGAAAACAACTTTTCTCCATTTCTTAGCGATAACGGGCATAGCACAACACTTGCATTTCTAATTATATTCTGTCTGGAAAGCTGAAGTATTGCTGGCTGCAGAATGTATTAAGTGGAAAGATTTACTGTTTTCTACCAAGTGTAATAGTAATATTTTTCATCACACTCATCAATGTATTGATATTAAAACTATTCAAATATTTTAACATACTGAAAAGAGAAGAAATTCCATTTTAACACTTATAGTTACTGTTTTTGCATATGTCAAGTCGGAGAATGTAGCATTTAAAAAAAATGCAGGCAAAAACTTATTTATGGTTGTAGCTATTCTCTGATATTCTGAGTGTACTTTAATACATTATCTTCATAATGTAGGGTATTACATAATGATTTCTTTTTCAGCATATTACGAGTTTATCCTTCAATTAAGAAAACAAATCATACTTGTCCCTAAGTCAGATTCTTTTCCCTTAAATCTTTACCCTAATGTGATTTATCAATATGATTAAAACTACTGAGTCTTATTTAGGATAGTGAACAAATATATTGAGCAATTTTTTCTAGACAATTCTATTTTAGCCTTCCCTTTCATATTTTGTTCCTTTCATCAAGGTTATGTTAACAATGTATAGGCTGTAAATCAATTGGGACTATGCTGATTAAAATGCAAACAGTAAATACAACTTCAGGTCTAGAATGGGATTATAGGATTAAAATGAATGAAAACTGCTAGTGTGCTAGAATTGAAAATTCCCAATCAATATCATCCTTTGATTTTACTAATAAAAGAACAAAAACCCGCAAGTAAAGAAATGAAGAGGCAGCATCTTAACCCACCCCAGTTAAATGGTTCAGCTGTTTACTATCTTGTTTTTGGTCATAGTGAAGAAATGATACCCACATATTTGAGGTCTTTCCCCCATTAAGTTTTTATTTAAATCATGGGCTCAGTTCTTCACTCCACCTGGCAGGGGGCAGAAGCATCGTCGGTTCCAGTGGTTGGTGTGGAGATGCTTGCCACATCCATATCCCTTTTTCTCCAAGGCAGGAAACAGACTACCTTGGTAGCTTCTTCAGCCAAGTTCCAGCCCATCAATCCATTCTGGCTTGAAACTGCCTGGCATCTGGTTCCTTCTTTAGCCCTCAAACTAGTGGTGTAAAACAACAGACCTTTGTCTGTTATTTGTGGGATTCAGGACAGGAGTACAAATGCAAGCCCACATATCATAGATCTAAATAATTAAAAGACCTACTCAAGCTAACAAACGGAAGTATGTTCTATCTGCCTACCCTGGCAAAGACACCATCAGCATGACCACATTTGACTTTCAGCCAGCCCATGGCCTTCTGTTGCCACCCCCAGCGTCATCTTCCTGTAGCAGGGACCTCATATGCACACACGTATGGATGCCCCAGTTCAAACTTCCAAGCTCTGGTGCCATGGTCTGTCTTTGGGAAGATGGCTCAGGGAAGAGACCAGCCCTTGGAGCAGTTTGACCAGGGAATTCCATTCCTCACTGTGGGGAGAGTGTGGGCTAGAGGGGGAGGGTCGAGGCAGGGGCCCTCCTGCCTGTGTCTAGGGCAGTACTACTCCTAAGAGTGAGGAAGCATCAAGCCAAGAAGAAAATACTACTGTGGCCTCCCAGCCCGCTTAGAGGGGTCTTGCCACCCCCACCCAAGTCAATCTGAAACTGCTATGAACTGAGATCCTCTGTTTGTTTACAGGAGTCCCTCATGCATTCAGTAAATGTTTCTTGAGGTACTATGCCGGCCCTCGGACCCCAGTGCACTCCATCCCACTGTGCTCATGGAAAGTAGTCTCTCTTCCTCTCCTGAACCTAAGAGCGCCGGCCTCTGTGTGCTGACTTCTGATTGTTTCAGGGGGATCTGGGAACGGTAGCATTGTATGGATTTGGGAGATATGAGGGGTGCTTCCTGTATGCCAGGTATATTGAAACAGGAGACGTGGACCCCCCTCCAATTCTCCCAGTACCTTAATTACTTTAGGAAAGAATAGTAAGAAAAAAGCACCCTAGCTGGTTTGGCTCAGTGGATAGAGCATCAGCCTGTGGACTGGAGGGTCCTGGGTTTGATGCTGGCAAGGGCATGTACCTGGTTGCAGGTTCGATTCCCGGCCCTGGTCAGGGCACGTGCGGAGGCAACCAGTTCAATGGATGGATGAGTCTTTCTCACATCAAAGTTTCTCTCTCTGTCTCTCCCCCTCCCTTCCACTCTCTAAAAACGAAATCAGTGGAAAATATCCCCAGGTGCCGAAACCGGTTTGGCTAATAAAATTTAAAGAAAAAAACAAAGTGGAGCATGGAGGTTTCTGAAGGTGGTTTCATTGGTCATATATCCTGGATTTCTGGAGAAATCAATTTCTAATCACAACTCTTATGGTTCCTTGTTCCCATAGAAGCCCTGGAGGATCTCACCATTTTTCATTTTAAAAGTTGTGGGGGTTTTGTTTACTTGTTTGTTTTCAGGGGGAAAAATATAGCTAGTCAACATGTTCAGAGACAGCAAGTAGCTGGTTACACCCTATCATAAACAGTTATTGACACCAAAAATCTACAATATTTTGTTTGTTGCCATTATTCGGGGGTGGAGGTCTGGGAGGGAGAGGCTTCCTCATACCACTCTGGAGGCCCTAAAACGTCTGTGTGTGTGACCAAAAATCTACAATATTTTGTTTGTTGCCATTATTCAGGGGTAGGGGTCTGGGAGGGAGAGGCTTCCTCATACCACTCCGTAGGCCCTAAAACGTCTGTGTGTGTGTGTGTGTGTGTGTGTGTCTCTCTCTCTCTCTCTCTCTCTCTCTCTCGACTTAAAAGTAGCTCATCCATGCTGGGTGGTGGTCAGGAAAGAAGGGACTCTACCTTGTGACATTTATATTTAGGATGAATTTTCCAGACGTTTAGACTGACAATATTAAATCACATTTCCAGCGTTTCGGAGTTTTTTTTCCCCTTTGTTTTTTTCAGTGAATTGATTGCTTTCTCTTTGCTCTTTGCTTTCGCCGATTAACAGTTAATATGCTTTACAATTCGTGTATGTGAACTGGCATTCTCAGCACATGCCATTTTAGGAGATGTGGCACCCTGACAGAAGAGGCACTGCTGCTTTTCAGATGACGCTGACAGAGATCAGTCTAAACGTTGGCCTTGACGAGAAATCCAAGTTGGCAGATAAATTAAAAGAAGGAGTAGTGGGCACAGACGCTGGATAGCACGTACAGTGTTGCTCCGGGGCTCCTCACGGTGTGCCTGATGGGCCCACTCTTTGTTTTATCTTAGACGTCTAGTGCGCTCTTCAAAAAGACTTATCTTTCTTCTCCATTTGTATCTGGGAGCAACGTACACTCGGCAGGGATTGTACCAGCTGATTAATAGCAAGGGCGAGAGGGCACTCCAGAAATAGAAGTAATGATTGCTCTAAGCCCTCCTATCAATGAGAAATCGAGTCTGCAGTGGCTGGCTCGATTCATTAGAGTAACGACATTAATGAAGCCATAGGTGCGAGTTCAGACCTGTGCGGGCCAGTTCATGCCACAGGGAGGGGAATCTCTCTACGGGGCCCAAAGGCACACAGTCCAGAGGCAGGGGCTGGGGACAGCTCATCAGGCACCCCGCCAGTCAGAACAGCAGGAAGCTGCGCATCTTGTTAAAAGTGCATTCTCCGTGCCACCTTGATATGCGATGGTAGAAATGCATATTTCTAACATTTTTTAATGTTAAACTCAAAATTGGGGACTTGGCTTATCTCTTGTCTTTGGCTGCTGGTCTCTAATGTGTCTTTTCCTGTGTTTCAGAGAGTCGCATGATCTTGGATGCCTTTGCCCAGCAGTGCAGTCGAGTTCTTAGCCTCCTAAATTGTGGAGGCAAACTCCTGGACTCCAACCATTCTCAGTCCATGATTTCTTACGTCAAGCAGGAGGGCTCAAGCTACACTGAAAGACAGGATCCGTGTCACATTGGGAAAGGGGTCCACAGTCAGACTTCAGACAATGTAGACATAGAGATGCAATATATGCAAAGGAAACAACAAACTTCTGCCTTTTTGAGAGTTTTCACTGACTCCCTACAAAATTACCTGCTCTCGGGGAGCTTTCCAACTCCGAACACCTCATCGGTCAGCGAGTACGGCCACCTGGCCGACGTGGACCCTCTGTCAACCTCCCCCGTGCATACACTAGGAGGCTGGACCTCCCCGGCAACGTCTGAATCCCATGGTCACCCATCGTCTTCTACGCTGCCCGAAGACGAAGAGGAGGAGGAGGAGGAGGAAGGCTACTGTCCCAGATGCCAAGAGCTGGAGCACGAGGTCATTTCACTGCAACAAGAAAATGAAGAGCTCAGAAGGAAATTAGAGAGCATCCCAGGTACCCTGTCATGTTACTTACAGGACAACTGCAACTTCTTTCTTTCCATTGTCTCATCTGTGTGTGTGTATGCATGCATGTATATATGTTGTTTATTTGTTTGTTTTTGGCCAGCGATGTAGAAGAGTTGGAAAAACAGGTATGCACAGGGTACCCTTAAGCCTGCCTGTGCCAAACAGAAACTTCAGGATGAGCCACTAGCCTTGTCCTGTCTGTGTTTAAGCCACATAATTCTTGGGTATAGGCCTGAAGGCCATAGTCACATTGAAAGATGTCTCTGTTGATATAAAAGTGATCCCTAGGTGTGGTACAGTGAGATGGAAATAGGCCGAGTAGTGTGAGCCTGAGTTTCCTTTAAAAAAAAAAAAAAAAGGCCCTGTTCCTTTAAAATGCCTTTTGTATTTTTACAGACATTGATATATGTGTTTTATTAATCAGTGATAGAAATTAAAATGAAATGATACCTTCAGAGAGTCAGGGCTCGAGTAGTAATGAACAGATGAACTCTTCTAGTCCATTAGTTTCTCACCTTTCCTGTTAAGTTTCAACAGGCAGGGTGTCTTTTTAGCATGCAAACTCCTCCGTACAGTTAATAAGCAGCTGTAAACTAAAAGGAATAGATCGAAGACAGACCAGTAATTAGGCTGATCCCAAACTATTTGTGCCCCTGGCAAAATCTGAGGCATTTTCTGCCTCTTAGAGACACTAGATTTGCAGAAAAGTAAAAGTCATCTTTATGGCAAGGTACTGATTGTGCTTATGTATTTGAATTCATGCCTGCATGTCTGTGGCTGACAAAAGATATTAAGCCCTGGCCAGTGTGGCTCAGTTGGTTGGAGTGTTGTCCTGTGCACCCAAAGGTTGCTGGTTTAATTCTCCGTCAGGGTGCCTTCAGTCAGGGTGCATATGGGAGGCAACCAGTTGTTTCTCTCCCCTCTCTCTCCTCTCCCCTCTCCCTTCTCCTCTCTCCCTAAAAAAAAAAGAAGAAGAAAAAAAATATATATATATATATATATACACGTTTTCTTAAAAGATATTAAGATCATTAGCTAGAGCAGTATCTTCAAACCTTTTTAATTACACAGCCATTGATAAAAAATTTTGAGCACCAGTGTACACATTTATTGGTTAATTACATAGTACATGTTCTATCCTAATACGTTATGTTCAAAATAAAGCATACATAATAAATTTAAATCTTTTAAAATCCTCACTTGGGGATATGTTTTATTGGTTGTTTTAGAGGGGGCAGGGAGAGAGAAACATTGATGTGAGATAAAAACATTGATGGTTGCTTCCCATATACACCCCATCTGGGATGGAACCCACAACCTGGGTAAGGGATCAAACCTGCAACCTGTTAGTGGTACAGGACAACGGAGCCACCCAGCCAGGGCTACGTTTAGATTTTTGAAAGCTGATACATAAATATAAACAGAAGTCACTTTTTTTCCTAACTCGGTGTCTTTGTGCCACCCAATTAGACGGCTGAATCTAGAAAGGGCATGTTGAAAGAAGTCACCCACTTGTTTATTAGCACACGTGGGAAGCAAAAACAAGTGTGAAGAATTGCCAAATCAGAAATTTATTTCCTTTCTTTTTATTTGAAAGAATTTTCCAAGTAGACCTAAGGTTTGGTTCAGAATATTTTGGAATTAGATCTAATACAGTAGTTTTATGGGAGAGAAGCAAGAGGTAAAGTAAATCCATTCTCTCTTTTGTGTTTGAGCCTTGGGGTTAGATACAGAGTCACGGTGTCTTCTGCCAGGTTGCCAGGTATCCCACCAGGTTGGCACTGACTGCAGGAGAGAGACTGGGTAGAACCTGCAAAAGTATAATGGAACCAGAGCACTTCCAAGTCAGAGAGATATGGGTGCAGCTAACACATCGTGGGATTGTACAACTTTCACAGTTCCATAAATGATGGTCGATTAACTATGGGATTTTACCCCCAAAGTGGTATTTCCCATTTTACTCCCCACTCCTTCTTTTTCATTGAGGGAGAAAATCAAGACGAACCAATTGTGATACTTATATCAGCTATTCAGAACTGTGGGTAAGAGTTCTAGAGTGCAAGGACAGGTGACATAAATGTCCAGGGTATTATTGCCTAATTCCTAATCCTAAATATTTGGTAAACTATCTGTCCTTGGTAAGTTCTATGCAGATAGGGGGTTTCAGCCCACCTCTCATTTCCTGAATCTGTCCCAGATGAAGTGTCTCTGTTGGGGATAATGCATCACAGCCCTGCCACTAATCATTGTCCTTGTCTACTTCCCGGGAAGACAGAAATGCTGCAATTTCTTGACCCCCTTTTGACGCTCAGACATTGAATAGCACAGGTTGATATTAGCTAATTACTATTACTGTAAGCATTTCAGCCCTGTTGATAATCTTGAACTTGAACCAATAGACATTTTACATGGAGAACAATGGTTGTGTTAATAATCTATACTGAAACCCAGCTATAAAGATGAAAATCAGTTTGACTATTATGGATAGAAAAAAATTACTATAAAGTGCAGGAAATAATAATTTATTTGTGATCACTTTATACATGTCCTCACTACCTGGGGACACCTTAACATTGGGCATCAGGTTGAACGTGTCACTTGGAGCTGAAAACTCGACTCAAAAAGGGACATTATTGCCCTCTTGCCTTCATCTCCCAACTTCTGTTTTGGCTAAACAACCAACCAGACTGGTGATCACCCAGGAATCCACTTTTCACTCCATTAGCTATCTGTTTTGAGGTGGGGAATCTGTTATTTTTAGATTCCCACTTGAAGAAAAGTGCAGCAAGTAGTACTCTGGGTTTGCATGTATCAAGAGTATTTTTCAAGTAGTAACTTTCCAGTGTAATGTGGGATCGATTTTCTCTAATCAGTGTCAGCTTCCCACTGGCCCCGGTAGGCCTCTGTTGTCCTGGAGGCCAGTGCATTTGCATGGAAGGAGCTGGGACTTTCCGCTGGTGGAACCTGGTTACAGCCAAGCAGGATGGATGATTATAAAGGAGATGGTAGCATCCCGCAGTTAGCAGAGGAAATGAGGTTAACAGGGAGATGGGGCACCTGCTCTAGGTCAGAGCCAAGACACTTGCCTCAGCCACTTCTCTGCCTCTCCACAGTCATGCTGGTGAGCAGCACTGAGATTCTTGTTTTGTTGTTGTTGTTCCTGTTTTTCCTGAAATAAAGCATGAGTACCTGAGAGCAATTCTTGATGTGAACGTTCAAAAGACATGAGCCTATTAGTTTACAGGAAGAAAAGATTTCGCTTGGGTAGCTATCAAAGGGGGAAAGAAAGGTGGTAGATCTTACTAAAAGGAAAGGTGGGCAGAGGTGTTCTTTCCAGCACCACTTGAGAGGGTCTGCATTACTGTCTTATTTGTGAAACATTCAACAAAGTCTTACTAATTATCAACTACCTGCAAGCAAAGGGCTCTGGACAATACTCACTAACTTACTTTCCAAAGTTAACTTGCACGTGTAGGCAATTAAATATTTTATCCCAAAGACGCATTAGCACATTTTCTTCTGTGTTAGATGATCACACTAGAAATTAGACAGTCTGTTTAAAAGTTTAAATTTTTTAAAGTAAAGTGAAAACAGGTTAAAAGAAAAAAGCCACAAAAGGAACGATGTTTGGATCAGGAATACAAAGAGCTGCGAGGTTATTAAAGGAAGGAAAATGGGCCCTAGCCAGTTTGGCTCAATGAATAGAGCATCAGCCTGCGGACCAAAGGTCCAGGGTTCGATTCTGGTAAAGGGCACATACCTTGGTTGCAGGTTCCTCCCCGGCCCGGGCCTTCGATAAGGACTCGTGCAGAAGGCACCAATTGAATTGTTTCTCTTACATCAATATTTCTCTGTCTTACCCTCTCACTTTCACTCTCTCTAAAAATCAATGGAAAAATATCCTTGGGTGAGGATTAAAAAATAAATAAAAAATAAAGGAAGGAAAATGCTGGGGAAACCTTTCGTGGAGAGGGCGTCAGCTTAGAGTACTGACATTTATTTAAAAAGCTTACCATCGCCCTGACCGGTTTGGCTCAGTGGATAGAGCATCGGCCTGCGGACTGAAAGGTCCCAGGTTCGATTCCAGCCAAGGGCATGTACCTTGCTTGCGGGCACATCCCCAGTGGGAGGTGTGCAAGAGGCAGCTGATTGATGTTTCTCTCTCATCGATGTTTCTAACTCTCTATCCCTCTCTCTTCCTCTCGGTAAAAAATCAATAAAATATATTAAAAAAAAAACTTACCATCAGCACTAGGTGACAAAAAGTCATAAGAGAATGGATATCAAATATCATTATTTCATGTAAATTAAGACCCCGGTGAATGTAAGGCACACCAATACTTTATGTTCCACTAAGAAAGAAGAAAAACACTGCAATAGATTATAATTATCTTCGAACACCAAGTTCAGAGATTTTAAAATATGAAAATACAGGTGTTAGAACCATAAGATATGGTCATTTAAAAATAATTTCCTAAGTAAAATTATTATGATACATTATAGGACAGAAATACTTGTTGATATTTTTAAAGAACTTTCTACTTTTTAAAAATTACACTTAATATCATCTCAGTTTATCCTCGTAACTCCAGTATTTCCAATTTACAGACAGAGGTGTTGAAACCTGGACAGGTGATCTCTGTGCAGACTTGGGAATGTACTCCAGGCCTCTGCTCCAGATCTAGGTTATTAGCAACTTCCACCCTCAAAACAGTCGATTCTCATTTTCATGGTAGTTATCTTCTCTAAAGTTGCTGTGGGCACTGAACACTGAACCATCGCTCCTAGGGAAGTGGTTGGCAAACTGCGGCTCACAAGCCACATGCGGCTCTTTGGCTCCTTGAGTGTGGCCACGAAGTTTCAATCGCACTGTACATGAGTGCCCACACGTGGTATTTTGTGGAAGAGCCACACTCAAGGGGCCGCAGTTTGCCAACCACTGTCTTAGGGCCGTGGTCGGCAAACTTGGCTTGCGAGCCACATGCG